GTCATGGTTAATTAATATGATTCCACTTATATGCTTTAGAAAAATAATATGACTGAATTATGACTTCTCACAGTGCAAGCAGAATACAAATAATATTTAAACAGATACTTTATATTTAGATCAATAAAGAACCCAAGTTTACAAGAGTAAAGGTGTTTTTTTTTCCAAATAACACATTTGGAAAAAATGTATGTTTATATCATATAGCATTTATTGCTACTTAGATTATCTTATTTTAACCGTGTAACATTACTATATGGCTGTTCTATCAGATAAAACACTACAACAATTTGTCTCACACCATCATACTAGAAAGAAAAGGCAAAAAGAGTCAGATAAGTGAAATTCTTGCTGTAAATAAGGGCTTCATGAAAAATGACTGACAATATTATATGAAAAAAAAATGTATAAACTCCTTTTTACTTTGCTACATTTTTCAAAAACAATGTTTATATTTTCAGTGCATCAAGAAAGCTGTATTATCTGGTGATAAGCCTGGATTCAAAGAATAAAAGTGGAAATGTAAACTACAATCATGCACCATCACTACAAAAATGTATTTGATTCTTATGCCATAGATGAGAAAAATTATAGATCCACTGAACGAACTGCAAAAAAGTGAAACAATTAAACATTTTGCTCTCCATCTGCAAGCTAAAACACAGAATACACAATTCCCTTAAAGCATGCATGATTACCCTTTTTTGTAACCATTAGCATATACTTAAAAGACACTGTAATTTAAAATGTTCATTGCTACATCTGACAGAGGTGGACATAATTCAGGGTTTAACAGCATATTCAAGACCTGACAACTAACACATTAGAATGGAGTGTTTCACAAATCTGTCTTCCTATCAGGTCAGAGGAATCAATTCAGACAGTGTTACTTTTATATGAAAAACTTCAAGACTAAAATAATAGTGAGTTTATTTAATTACCCCTTACTTTTATTACTTGTATCACACATAAAAGAGACAATTTCATGTTTAATATTATGGGCAAAATATACATTGAAAAGTTAAATTTAATTTATACAGTAGGCCTAGTTTTAACCCTGTAAAACTAGAATTTATATAATTTGAACACACTTTTTCGTTAACCATCTTATTTTCAAAGTTAGAGCACATGAGATGAGTGCAATGTGATACAGGGAGAATGGCTGTCACTAAAGTCTTGTGGTTAAATAATAGCAATGAAACATTCGTAAAAATAAAATTAAAAATGAGAAAATGGCCTGAAGGAACTTAAAAAAAGTTAATTCTGTCCCTATTTCCCATACACGTGTAGTTTCAAAAAGCAACAGCAGGAGGCACAAGTAAAAAAAACAGCCAAAGGACGTCAGCATGTGTAGGAGGGGGGGAGGGAAGGCAAAAGGCAGAGATAAGGGTTCTTTCTGTAAAGATGAGAAAAAGGAAAAATGGATATACAGTAATGATAAGAAACGAAGGAACTTTGCTGCACACAGGAGGAAACAACAAAAGATGAAGCAGAGAATCATCTGTGGGAGAGAAATAAGGGGTAGTGATAAGGAGAACAAAAACAGGCAAAAGGAGAAACATGGGGGGAGGAGAAAGCAGGATGCAAGTCAGGCTGACAGCATCAACACTCTTCTTCCACACCCATCTCTCGCTTTTCTTCATACACATAACCTACAAGATAAGATGGCGGGAAACACTGAAGAGAAATTGATGCTTACATCAAGTGAAAATCTGCGCACAAAAGAACTATGTGATATAATATAAGGTCTGATATCCACAACGTGTCACAATAGCAGCACTAGCCCACATTTCTGATTCATTTTTAGGACAGACAGCTCAGCTAAAAATAAGCACCGCAGAACAACTTTACAAAAGACAAAGCTGCATGTGGGATGGGATGACTCATGGACCGCAAAGAGCACCTCAGATGTTCACATTTCAGAAAGATGACCAGAGCACCACAGATGAAGCTCTGTTCTTTTCAGTGTCAAAGGAGGACAGTTAATGCTGCTGATTTGTTCATTAATTAAATAATCTGAACATTATATCCTGTGTCATTTAGATCAACTGATTATTCTCTCTTCAAGAATAATCTTAGACAAAAAGCCATCATATATATTTGTTTATATATGTAAATATGAGTGTAGGGTGACATATCTAATTATTCATACAACTTCCGGTTGGGATTTGTTTTTAACCATAACAGAAGAAAAAAAAAAGACTGACACACTAACTGTTTAAGTAATTTTATCTTTGTTCTTATTTGCCCAGTATATTTAAATTGTTAAATAAAAAACATTATGAATTAAGTGTAGAATGTTTGCATACTATGGACATTTTTATAAGTTTTTAACTTTATTTATAGTAAAAACGTATTTTGTAGTGCACCGTTATTACAATATCATCAATAATAATGATGGCAGCCATGAATTCTGTTTCTCAATCAGAAATATGTATGCTAAAAATATTAGAGATTCAGAGAGCTCCCCAGATGCTAAAAAGACACCTAACAGTTAACAGAGAAGAGTATGAATGTGGAAGAGGTGGATACAAATCGAGAAGATACAATAATACGGCAAAGAGAGAAAAAAAAGCAAACATCAACATGAATAGAACAAAACATACATTGACCAGTAAATTAAAAAAATGCAATTATGCAATAAAATAACGGAAAGATCTGATCAACCTACAGAGGGGTGTTTGGTTATGATAAAACTTGTAAAGTGCAGACAAAAATAAAATACACAGATAGAAAGCATAAAATGTTGGTAGGGGAAAGTCTGCCTTTACAAACATAAGAAATGACAAAACAAAACAATTAACAATTTAATTACTTTTCCTTTTATTGCTGCAGCTAAAAAACAACAACAAAAAAACACACACTCAGGGTTACAGAGTTATTCTTTCTTTTCTTATCGTTTCATATTCCTCAACAGATAAATGTGAAAGAAAACAGATGAAAACTGTATCAAACTTTCTGCCAAAGAAAACAGCCAAAATTGCCCCTAATTTATGCCAGCCAGTCTTTTATCCAGTACCATGGCCCTCTATTTGTTTGTCCTATAGGCCCAGCCTGTTCATTCCCATTTGATTTATCTTACACTTCTTGATGGGATGTCTAACAGAAAACATTATGATTACCTCAGATTTGACTTAATGTGATGTTTTCACCCGATTTTTTTTTAAACTTTCTTTTATACTTCCTATTTCCTTTTAACGTTCCCTGTAATGTCTTCCTTCCTTCACTGTTTGCTAGTATTCTAACTTCAAGTTGTTTAATCTTCTCTGATATAGTTTTAGGAAACTTTTCTTGCTGGAGGATCAAAATAACAACTGACAGGAGCAACGGTGCCTCATTTAAAGGTCAGGCTTGTTACCTGCTTCAAGATTAAGTCACATAAGTACAAAAAGCTTCAGAGAAACAAACCAATGTGTTACTGATCTGCCTCAGAAGTTATGTCCCTTTTTTGTGTGACTGAACCATCCATCCATGAAACATATTTCCACATTGAGAAATTCTAGTGCTATATATATATATATAATTTTCGTGATGTTATTTTGTACATTTAACTAAATATTATAAACGAAGCACCTTAGGAACCAAGACAAAGTATTCAAATAGTATAAAATAGTTTTTGTTCCTAAATAAATAATTTATTACACTCCTCAGTAAATGATGCTTAAAACATGACAGAGATATTGTGTCTTAGCTGCCTTCACATACTGGCACACATAATGCTAACGCTATGCTACTCAGCTTTATCTTCTGCATACACAAGCAAAGGAAGGTCAACCAGAGAGAGTGAAGAAGAATTATAAAGAGGACTGCACTTGCTAAACACAAGGCTTAGCAATTACCCAAGATGCATAGTGGGAGCAGCATATGAAGCAAACAGCCACAGGGGGATAAGGAACCCTGCAGCTTAGACTGGTTCTCTCTAACAGTAACAGCTGATCCCATCCATTTCTGGTCAGAAAAAAAAATATAAAAAATACAAGATCCAGTACTAATCAGACAGCATTCGTAGCTGTTTACCCCATTTACCTCCACAGGGAACCTTATGCATAGTGCTGCAAGAGGCCAATCCTCTTATCAGAGCTGCATCCAATGTCTGGCTCCATGACTTTGGATTTCCCACACTCTCTCTGCCATTTGTTTAATCAGTCACCAATACCATACTCCATAAGTCTAGATTTTAGAATCCAAATTTAGATTTAGATTTTAAACAACAATCAATCAGGGACCCTATACATTTGGTCGTAATGGATGTAGCTTTTACTGTATATAGCATTGCATTGACCCATTAGTTGGTTCATTCCCGCAGGCAGGTCATGATGACCCTTGCACAGCAGCAGATGTTGTGGCTGTGTGGGCTGTGATGCCAAACAACAGCTCTGCAGATCCACATCTGTCCTAATCTCTGTTGATTCAGATAAAAAAAAAACCTATAGATGTCTCTATTTGACCTTAGAAAAGCTATAAAGCACTAGTTATTACACCAGAGAAACAGATTTAAAGACATTAAACAAGTTTATTTTATTTTATTAATACTCTTGCTTTGACTATCACAACTGTTTCAACAGAGCAAGATAAAAACATTATAAGGGTTCCAAACTAAATATCTGCTTACCCAGCAATGATTTCAAATGACCTTTTAAAATAGCATTTGCTGATGCTTTTTACAAGTACATGGTGATTAGTAACAGATCTTGAATCACTGACGGAAAAAGAATGGGCTTCAGTCCACCAGATCAAGTCAGTATTGAGAGGACAAACAGAAAATTTACATCTACACAAATTTCATTGTTGAGAAAAAACAAACCTGGCTTATTCAAACAAACCATGGTATGGTTAAAAGGTGTCATTTACTTGGAATGACTTGAACTCTTAGCAACTCTTATTAAGCTATGCTGAGAAAACTCTCAGTGAATATGTACACAGGAACCCACTAAAAAAAAAAAATCTAACTAAATCTGAACCAAATACACATTACAAATTTGAGTCTATTCAGTTTCACATCAAAATCACAGATGGCTCTAAACTGCCTGACATGTTCTATGACAAATGACAGGAGGAAAACATGCCGGGCCAAGAAATCTAACACTATAGCTGTAATTGCTCCCCACAATTAAATAATGGCCCACTCTCTGTTTACAGGATAGATTCTACAAGAAAGAAGAAAAAATAGTGAACATGAAATAGGCAAAGACTGTGGTTTTCAAACGGTTTGAAATACTGTAGGTGTAACATTTGGAAATTTAAATATTACTTGCACGGGCTATTCAGAGTTAGACTATAGTTCAGAATATAGAATTTTGTTTCATGTCTATCTTTTATTTTCCCAATACATCAAATGAGTAACAGAAGGAGAAAGTATTTGTTCTTCATCAGCAGCACTGCAGTGGTGTTTCTGCTGACATCCAGAACAAAATGCTTCCTGATCCACCAATAACAGTTCACTGGTATGTCTGTAGAGGGAAAATACTGATATAAGTAGGAACATTAATTGACATAGAAATATAGTTAAAAGCCAAGCAAAAAAACAAAAAATATGCAAACACACTTGGGGCACTAGATGCAACATTGTATGAACCTATAATCCAAAGGTGAAGTTTGGGTCAAGTTCAGTTAGTTGTAGGCATAACTGTTGCAAAACACAACTTTCTAGTTCAAGCATAATGCTATCTATTATGGTTAGTAAGACATGATAATCAACAAGCAACTAATAAAGAATGCACTGGTCGTAAAACTGCATATATTCCTTCTTTGCTTATAAATGTTTACTTTGTTGGCTGAACCTGTTTTTTGACAAATAAAACCAAAACAAAATCATAAAAGGTAAATAAACCCTGTCCATCCATCCATCCATTCATCCATACATACATACATACATACATACATACATACATCGATACCTTTTTTAACATGTGTAACAATGTTAATAAAGTAAAATTTTACTTTTGTTTTATATGAAAAAGCTTTGTTAAGAATTTATCGTCATTTAAAATCTGACATGAAATGCGTTTTTGTAGTTGTGTAGGCTACAATGCTTAGGTTCCCTAACATAACTGTTGCCGTGGTTACTGTCCTCTATAATTTATTTAACATGTTTGGAAGAGATCCATTTTGTGTGTTTACAGTGTAATTAAAGTGAGTGATTAAAGTAAGTTTTCAAAAATAATACAATCCCAGGACATCTAGAGTGGTGCAGAAAAAAACTATAGATTTAACTGATTAACAAAGGCATATAAATACTTGTTTTATGAATTTGGATGAGTCCAAAAAATATACATTTACTTCTGAATATAATGTCAAAGTCAACATAAAAAGATTTCACCCCAATAGGAAAATTAAGTTAAGGTCACTTCGAGATGGAGCCCAGGCATTCCCACATCCTAGCAGCTTCTCTAAAAAGAAGTAAAGCAGGAATGATCATCATTCAAGCTTTTAAGTCTCGGTGGCAATGAATCAAGTGGGTTCAAAGGTCACGCGCTTTTGTCGCCTTTCTTCTGAACTCATAAGTATAATATTTGGTATGTTTTACATTAGCATTGTCATTTGTTATACATTTCTATAAGAATCATAATAAATTACCAGTTTGACTTTGTAAGGATATCTCTGTAAAAGAGAAAATAATGGAATTATTTTTCTTTTGTGGAAAAATAAGTTCTCCACCTCCATATCATACTGTATAGTTGATTAAAACTAAAACGACTACAAGAGAGTTAAATATGACTAAAACTACATATTACTTCAGTCCAAAGGCCATCAGTGAAGAATTAAATCAAAATGTGTGGTCAAATTTAGCACAACACAAAACTCTGTGCGTCTGTGTATTGCATAAAAAGATTTGCCAGAAGTTTGAATCTGTGAACTACTTTAAAAACAAAGCTCACACTAAATCCAGGTTACCTTTATCCCTTTCTCTGAACTGCCCAAAAAATCTCTTTAAAACAAAATGCCCAAGAGCACAAGGATGATGGAATGAAAAAAACATCTTAGGTCTAAATATTAAGGATTTATCTTTTAACTGATTCAGAGGAAGCTGCAACTTCAGCTTTAAAATCTATTTAATTATTTTCCTGTTCTTCAACAGATATCCAGACCAAAAGCTGGATGTTAAATAAAAAACATGTTTCCTAAACAAATTGCACAATGGTATTGTTTATAAAGATTGTGAAAAATATCAAAAATGTATTCATTTTAAAAAATCAAGTTATTTTTCTTATGTAAATTTTAATAACAGTGTGTCATTCTATTAATTTTTAACACACCATATTATCAAAGATTTTCACTTTGCTTTAGCTCTTTTTTTCCTTTTGTATGCAGCCACATTTCCTCTGTGAAAGTGCCTTTGGCTAAAGAGGATTAGACATTTGTGAGTATCTTCAATGAGCTGTAACTCATAACAAATATCTGTCAACAAGCGTAGTTCTCTTGTGTGTAACAAGTAGACATGGCTGTTTTTGCTTCAACAGCAATATGTGCATGTGTGTAAATTTGATTACCACCATTGCTCCTGACCTTAATATAAGTGGCAGCATCGTCAAAAAAGCACTGCAGTAAAGAAGAGAGAAGCTGCCCTACTGACACACAACAGAACAGCAAAATCTGCATCCACAGTTGCAACCCTGAAGGCATGAGGCACAATGCTAAAAATATGGCAGACTGATAAAACCCACCAAATGCTGAAAGATGGCCAAAAGTCAACAAGGAAGAGGATGAATGAGAAAACAATGAGCATGTATATACAGTAAGAGAAAAGTTAGCTGACAGAGAGGGGACAGAGAGAGAAGAGAGGTGAATACAAATCTAAGTGACACAGCAAAGCTCCAAAGACAAGAGAGAGGATACACAAATCTGTGTATGAAAGGAACAAAACAGATATTAAACTGTCATAATACAACAATATTACTCTAAGTCCCATGTAACTTAAATGATAGTGTGCAGTTTGCTGGAAACTCTTTAGTACAGTGGCAAATACAAAGAAGTCAAAAAGGAGGCAGGTTTGTTTTAAAGACAGTTGTTCTTATAAATGTGAACAAGAACAATTGCAACAGGTTTTTGTTCTCCAATCAGAAACATGCTATCTTGATGATGCTGATACTGCCATGATCAGTTAGACAGAGTATATTCTACATTTGTTTTTGTTTTTTTCATGTTTTTTGAGGTGGAAACAATTTTTTTTCATCTGGCTTATTTTTCTCCAACTGTCCTGATCTTTTCTATTCATTAATTGCAACCTAGATTTATTCATTGTTTAGTTGCCTTCAAAGTTATGTGTTTAGCTTGATCTAAAATCTGTGTGCTCTTAAAATTTCTTCTTTTTTTCCATTTAAAAACTGCCTTTTGGACTTCACGACTATCACAATAAGTTGTGTTTATTCAGGATGTTTAAAAATAGTATTAAAAAAATAAAATGTCATTATTTTATTTCTAATTTCTCAGGTTTTGAACATGCACTTTTCAAAGAGCCCAAGGTTGCAGTTAAGCTGTTAAGTTTTATGAACAATACAAGTTCTCGGAAAAACACACATTGGGACAAAAACCTAAATCTGGTTTTTCCAAAATGAATAGATTCATGAAATTGCAGCGTGTCAGGAACAGGGATGTTTAAACAGTTGATTTTTTTAAGAATATTGTAAAAAAATCTGTCAAATGAAAATAGGCTTTAATGGTATGGGCAACAAACAGACATAATCGATGTTTTATATGCAAATAATTGCTCGGTGTCGGCCAAATGAATCAAGTATACTAGTTGGGAGAAAAGAAATAAATGTTGGAACCATCACCAGTCTTCCCACTTATTAAGAATGACTGATTACAGAGATTATCAGCTCTAGTATTTTTTTTTTTCTGAATAGCCCCATATAACAATAGCAATAAACAAGTTTTTTTTTCCTTATATCTGCAGAAATCACAACTATCACTTTAAAATTGGTAAGAAAAATTTGCCAACTCAAACTTTAAGGCGTCATACACGCTCCGCTTTGTTTTTAAAAGATAAAAATATAAAAAATATAACCGCAGATGTCTGGGGGACAGTGATTCGCCTACATGTTATGAATGCTGGCATACCATAAATGATAAATTATAAACAGTTTAGTCTGTGCCTTAAGGTTGTTTGGCCATAGGAAGACGTTACTTGGATATAACCTAATGGAATATCTGCAGAACAGCTCCAAATGACACAAAACTCATATGGGTGAGTAGAACATGATGTAGTAACTTAAAATCAAGGGCCCAATGTAAAAAAAAAAAAAACGGCGTTCCCCTTTAAGTTCCCAAATGACCTAAAACACATATTTTCTTAATCTGCAGTCTCACTATTTGTTTAAAGCTGTTTGGTAGTTGTAATTTTTTTTATTTTATTATTTTAAGCTCTCACATTTTAAATTAATCGAATGGAGAGAGTAAAACCCTTTCTAAATAAATACCAAATATTCTCTTGACAAGCGATTTTTTTCAATTAATTTTGTAATTTGAATATAGCAGGTGTCGTTTAAGTACAAAAAATTGTAATAACAGATTTTACTTTTGTGTTTACTAAAAGAATAGGTTAGGAAGTATTAACTTGGTGTCACTGCTGCACTGAACAAGGTGGGAAAAAATATGTGAGGTAAAAAGGTCAAGTTTGTGTTGATATTTAGAGTTTTACATCAAACATCTCAATGTAAATGCAAATTCAAGGCTGTAATATCAAGGCAATAAAAGAGTCATAATGGCTACATCGTTTATTGGTGAAATTATGATTAGGACCTCTTTTTTAAAGCTGAATCTTTTTTTTTACTGATTTACCAGATTTTCTCATCTTCTCCCATGTTCTCACTAATAGTTTCCCTTCACAATAAAGATAAAAACCTGTTAATGAAGAAGCATCGCACTGCTAAAAAATGTACAGCCTGAGCACAAAGCATAAACGCAGAAATACACTGATCTGCTGAGCCAGCCAGGCACAGAGACAAAGAGCCAGGAGGCACACTCCCATCCAAAAAGGGAATGCAAAATGAAAATACATTCAAGAGCACACTGTATAATATTCTTAAACATAATGCACAGTCAAAAACCAATCTGTCAGTTTTGATCAGAGGGCATTTTAAACCTTAATTAGCCATTCATCGGGAGTAGAAATAAAGCCACATCGTGCCTTTTATTTCCCTACACTTATTCAACCAACCTACCACAATAGCAGCTAAGAACTGGCTTTTGGAAGCAATCACCTCACAGTTTAAATTCACAGGCAGTCTGATAATCCTAATGCATAAGATTTAAGATATGCGTTTTAATTCATTCACATATTTCTCCGCCATCTGTTGTTCAGGCAAAGCTTAGAGTAGAAACTAAGTACTTGAATACACATGAAGCCTCATACAGTTTTTCATTTCAAACACATACAGAGGTTTTAATGCACACAGAGGTGCATTAAAAATGTATAAACCCAATGATAGTCAAGGGGCAGAAGAGGTGGTGAGAATTTCTTCAAGCTCTCTGCTTCATGAGCTACGGTTCACACTGAACCTGAACTCATCTTTCATTTTTCTCCATGTGAACAGCATAGAGACATTTTCCAGCCATTTTTCATGTGTTTGTAAAAAAAAATTACAGACCATTAAGACCTCACAAAATATGCACATTTGTGTAATATTCAAAGAAGCAAAGGGTGACCTATATTTGAAAAAGATAATTATCTCTACACAATCCAATTAATTAATAGACACTTTAACCATTCCTGCATTTGTTATAGCTTTATATTCTGCAAATTTTGTACCTGTTTTGCCATGATCATTTAATGAAAGCAATCTGTTTTTCTATATAATTATTAAATACTGTCTTATCAATAAATAAATAAATAAATGGCATTACTTCCCCTCCCCCTACTCGGCTGCTCTCCCTTCATCTCCCTCCCTCATTCATCCTCTTCTGCTGCTGTTGCTAAGACTGAGGAGTGCAGGCTAGTCTGTGGAAACCAGTAGAGTCTGAGAGGTGGATCTCCCAGTGTGTTGCTATGGGCAACCACTATGTTCATGAAAAAACCAACATAAAAGTCTGCCATGCAGATATACACACGTGACCTAGTTTTAGTTTTGTAAAAGGGATCATAGATTTTGAAGCGTATGTTTGGCATCCTCATAAATGCATATATGTGTCTATTCTTTTACACCTTTTGATTGGAATTTCAAAGAACTCCAAACCTAAAAAATGAAATAAGGTAGTAGAATGTATAGCTTCCGATTCAGGAATACAATATCATAACATCTATCTGAGAGCGAAGAAACCCTACCCCACCTTAATCACTGCACATTGTGATTCACTGCACACGTGCCTCAGGCTGACTCCGACCTCCTCTGTGTCTCAGCCATTCATTGCCCACTGAATCTCTGCAACTGCATCAGAAATCACAGAGTTCCTCTATTTGTCTTCAGCAGTAAGTGCTGTTTAAACCAAGCTGAATGGAAAAAGCATAACAAAATATATAACATTTCTATAAAAATATACAATAATCTTCATTCGAATGTAAATGTCAAATCTAATTCATTCCTGCTAAAAGAAAAAAAAAATCCTCTCAGAAGCTCTATGATTCTTTTCAGATGTGGAAGTTAAAGCAATTGAAATTGATATGGCTTGAATATGTAATGCTATCAGCTATATTACATTTGTAGACTGTCTACATAAATGCTGTGTTCTGTCCCTTGTATTAAAGAAAGCTCATTAAATGCAATAGCAAAAGATAACCTTTCATATTTTACATATTAGAAAAACAAAATCTGTCCGTGACTGAGTAAAACTATAGAACTATAGGCAATTAGTAATGAAACAACACACATCAAAGCCTTATGGTGTCTTTACAGAAGAAAAACACTTGTTTACTTTAAAAAATGAGACTAAACCAAACATCTGCACGTACACAACAACACATGGGTCATTAGGTTTATCAGTTTGTGGTCATTCTGTTCCACTAGTCATGGTATAACTGACCATTTTTAGACTAATCTCTATCATTAGTTTAAGCTCATGTCATATGCAAACTTATTTCAGAAATTATTATATTTTTTTATTAAAATCCATATTTACCTCTCCACATGTCCCCCTCCTGTCAGGAAGCACAAGTGTATTTGCATGACTTCCGGGTGCTATATTAGATCCAATGCTCATCCTGGGTCCGACCAACATGTATCGTTTATCTCCTGATCTGTACTGGATGCTGTGACACAGGGTCCCATCATAATTAGTCTCTGGGAGATATTTAGAAGTATAGTCTGTGGATTTGGAGCACTGCATTGCAATAAGAACGATAATACTGATGACAAATAAAATTGAAACTGCGCCCAAAGTGATCATCAGGTAAAAAGTCACATCATTATCTTCATCATCCTTTGCTGTACTTTTGACATCAGAAGCGGCAAAAGCCTCTTTTGGCTCCACAAGTTTGATCATCACTGTAGCTGTTGCTGAGAGGGAAACGTTGCCATTGTCTTTAACCAGTATGACCAGTTTATGTTCAGCTTCGTCTGTTTCTGTGAAGGAGCGAAGTGTTCGGATCTGTCCTGTGTAGCGGTCCAAACCAAACAGACTGTGGTCAGTAACTTCCTGTAGTGAAAACAGCAGCCAGCCGTTATAACCTATATCAGCATCATAGGCTCTGACTTTAGTCACCAAGTGTCCTGCGTTCACATTGCGGGAAATCTCCTCCACACCTTCAGCAGAACCATTGGAGCTGACTGGATACAGGATGACAGGAGGGTTGTCATTCTGATCCAAAATGAACACGTTCACTGTAACATTCCTGCTCAATGATGGAGTCCCAGAATCAGAAGCGATAACATGAAACTGAAACGTTTTCAGGGTTTCAAAGTCAAAGCTTTTCAGTGCCACAATGTCTCCAGTTTCAGAGTTTATACTGAGAAATGATATCATCTTGTTGTGTTCACCGCCCCTTCTTTGTATAGTGTA